TTCCGAGACGCCCAGGAAATTCAATATTAGATTCAGAACGTTAGAAATGAAGCTCGTGGTTGGCTTGTATTTTGACATTTGGACCTTTCTATCTATGTAAAAACCAAATACATATGTGCTTAAAATCTTCAAGGTCCTTTTGTCAATCTGTTTTGGGATAAATTCTGGAGTTTGCTTTTTCATAGAAAGACGTGTTCCGGACTTGACTATCGAATAACAGAAAGCTCATGGGATCTATCGTCTTTCTATCAAACGCTATTAAAAAAATAACATTGGACTGTCTTTTATCTTGAACTCGATAGTGGGAGTAGAAATTATAGTCTAGACTCTATCTATGTACCTGTTCGATGCGATAATGTTTGCCATATTAAATATGGAAAAATGAAGCAAAATGCCATAAATATAAAGAGTAATGGTATCCATGGATAATAAGTGATTTTATAAGCACGTGAATGTGTTGGATCTAACAGAAGACTGTCATTATCCGATAGATAGTAGATTGATTTATCATCAATCCAACAAATATCATGAGCATAGTTTGCTTGAGAATCACTTAAATCTGCCGGTATCCAACAATTAATTTTATTTCCAACATAATGATCGCTCATAGTTAAAGCAGCAAATGATGTTAGAAGTACAACTGTATATAAACGATTCAATCGATCAATACTGTCATCATCACGATTTTTCAAATATTTACTAATTTGACCAACTACATTTGAAAGAAAATCCATAGATCCGATGTTGATCACTTTTTCAGCATTCTGTTAAAAAGTGTAGACACTTCTTCATCTTTTATTGGTAGCGGCTTTATTAACCTTGGAACTTGAGGTTCAAAATTAGCAGTAGAATCGTCGACTAAATATAAGTGAAGAAACCTATGAAATATTTTACCGCAAAACGTAACAGAGGAAGAAGAAAAAAGCGATGTTATCACTCGTCACATAGCCTTTGTGAAAGAATGTAAGATTTGCAAAAAAAAGGCATCAGTACATCATTATGATGAGTATCACGTTTACAGTCCATCTGTTTATCAAGTAGTGCCATGTTTTGAATTCTGAAGTAAATTATACACTTTCTTCAAAAGTAAAGAATAGAAAGAAAGCAAAAATGGGATCGACGAATATCAATTAACATGTTTCATAAGGCGTAAAAAGTGTAACATCGTGACTACTGACCATTTAATCGTAATCCAAATATTATGATTCGTTAAAAGTAGAGACGTGTCGGATAACTTGCAGGTTGTTCTAAATATCTTAATATCTGTTCTGTTTTCGTTGATTAATCGACGAATAGTATATCGCAGGAAAATTTTTGAGACACCATGTGTTATCGCTCTTGTGAGTTGTTATGTCAGGAATTCGCGTATTTTTTTAAGACCTTGTATGATCGTATACCAAGAAAATAAATATAGCTCGGCAATTTGCATCGCAAGATCATCTGATGTCTATATATCTGTTATGATTGTGTAGGATCTTGTTACTTATTGCAGACTGATTGTGTAAGTTCTTTCTCTAAGATGTTACAAGAAACAGTATGATTATCTTAAGAATCTTAAGATTAGATCTCATAAAATCATCTTAAAAGATTTTATTATAAGTTTTAAAGGAAACCATAGATCTTTTAAGATCTTACAGGACGTGTTTTACTGATGAGAAAAATACTTCACTCACTTACTAGCATATGCTGGTAAGTGAGTGAAGTATTGTATGATTTTAGCGCCATCAATGAAACTCAAAAGGAGGTAAAGGGCCAAACTTTGATTGGATATTATGTGTTGCCACAATAACTCTGCACACCGAACATATGACTGATTCTAGTGATTTTTGTACCGGTTGACTTGAGGTCATGGACTTAGTTTGTTGTTCGCAGTTATGCAGAATTATGTACTCTATCTATCCATTGGTAAAAACTGCAATTGTCTAGACTCTTTTATCTTTGCATGGGCGATAGTTTATTGGCCAGGTCTACTAGGGAACACTCAAAACAGAAAAAATCACATTTTCGATCCTGAGTCAACAAGTGAACAACCATGACCTCGACAAATAAGAACTTGGTAGTTTGGAAATAGGATTTTCTATACATTTTCGAGTAACATCTGTAGACCTATAGTGTTCAAATATTTTTCTGGTCAGTTTCATTTAGGATTATTTTTTCTTCAAAAACAGTACAAAAATTATCAGATTCGCTCATATACTTATTCGGAGAATCTCATACTTTCTTCCTTTGAGATTTTAGGATTATAATTTGTTCTTTTCTAATTGCACCTCTCTATACATCAATTTTTTATTTTAGAAAATGAATTTTCATCGTCCATTTTTCTCTAAAACATCAAATAGTCGAGTATCGAGTAAAATATTGGACACTAATGAGCAGTTGAATGAAGGCATTTATCGCTGTAAACATGGTGTATCGTATCAAATATTTGTTCAATCATTTTATGATAGTAACGGGGATGGTATCGGTGATTTGAATGGTATTCGACTAAAATTAGATTATTTAAAAGGTTTAGGAATATCTTTGATATGGCTGATGCCCATTCATCCATCAAAATCTTATCATAAATATGATGTTGTGGATCACTTCAGCATTCATCCAGATTATGGAACGTTAGATGATTTTAAGCAGTTGATTAGAGAAGCGCATGAAAGAAATATACTCATTATTATTGATCTGGTTGTTAATCATACTTCGTGCGATCATCCATGGTTTGTCGACTGTCGAAATAATCGATCAAGCCAATACAGAGACTTTTATATATGGCAAGATAGTGAAAAAATACAGAAATTAGGACATAAAAGACTGGCGACACCCGATAGTGGCTTAACTGGAGTATGGCATCCAGTTGTAGAACAAAATGAAAATGAAAATAAACCACCAACAAATACCATATCCGAACTTGTAATTGCAGCCGTGCAAGGTAAGATTTTAAAGCTATCAGGGATCATCGTCAAAAATGGTCGAATAACTTATGTTAATTAATACTCTAAATATCCTGAAAGAGATGAAGTGTGCAATAAATAATTCCAGTTTGAGCTGTCGTAAGTAGAACTGAACTTGTCTGATTTTTTTTGTTTGATCTTTTCTATTTTAGTCATTATTACTGTTTTTATTGCTATGTTGCAGACAATATTTCAAAATTTTCATCTCAAATTCCAACAGCACCGCCTTTACCATCATCAACAGAAATAAAAAACAATAAAAAAGCAAAAAATAATCAAAACAATAATTATTATGCGATGTTTGACCCGTCAATGCCTGATTTGAACTATGACAATGAAAATGTTAAACGAGCCGTAATTGATATTGGTAAATATTGGCTAAAATTTGGTGTCGATGGATTTCGTTTGGATGCAGCTAAACACATTTATAAACCTCATAGACCAAAAGACAATCATAATTGGTGGCAACTTTTTCGCTCCGAAATGGAAAAAATAAATTCAAATGTTTATCTAGTTGGAGAAGTATGGGATATGGCTTATGTAATTGCACCGTATTTAAGAGGTAGAATAAAATTTTTCTCTATGAAGAATATAAATCTCGAAAGGAGAACAATTAATACTAGTTTTTATAGTATTCGACGAATGAAAGTAGTTTTTTAATTTTACTATTTTCTTCTTATCTTTTAGGTATTCCATCAATGTTTAATTTTGAAATGGCCTTGTATATAATGAACTGCGTTCATCGAGAACGTTGTCAAGGTTTACTAAATCGTCACTTAGAAAATATTGAATTTTATACAGCAACAAATCCCGAATATTTGGATGCTCTCTTTTTAACAAATCATGATCAAACACGTCTAATGACAGAAATGAATAAAAACAAACAGAAAGCAAAAATGTGTGCATCAATACTTTTGACACTATCTGGCTCTCCATTCATCTATTATGGTGAAGAAATTGGAATGTTGGGTGATAAACCAGATGAAAATATTCGAGAACCATTCTATTGGACTGATAAGGTAAAAATAAATAGAATTAATGCATAAGGTTTCTTATAATTAAGAGTTTTCGAAGGCTATTTTTGTTTTTCTTGTTCCCGTTCTGTTTAGTCTGATAATACGGGTCAAACAACGTGGTTGAAATGTACCTATACAACAAGATCAAACGGTTGTGTACCGTTTGACGAACAAATCAATGATTCATATTCTCTTTACAGTCATTATAAAACATTAATTCATATACGCAATCAATCAGATGCGTTAACATTTGGAGATTTGATACCAATTGATGTTAAAAATGCTTCTATTTGTGCATTTGAACGTATATATGGGCAAGATACTGTACTTGTTATACATAATTTGTCAACAAAATCGGTTACTATACCGTTACCGAATAATATTTCAGAGAATGATGTTACAGTACTATGGACAACAAATAATCAAAACCAATTGGGCAAGAAGAATGTAACAGTTTCAGGTTACTCAACAATTATTTTAAAACCGAATATTGCAAACTAACAGTGAATCTCATTCTTTTTCAAATTTCATTTTTTATTTTTGAATCATTTATTTTTCTATAATTCAAATAATCAGGTTAGTCAAGAGCATTGTTAACTTGATTCTCTTTGGTTATTCTAAAATGGTTCTCTGATGTCGAAAGAAGGAAGTAAGATCCAACCAAAATTCAAAATGATCAGGTTACACAACAAAGTACATTTTGACATAAGACATAATTTAGAATTTCAAGTGATTCGTTTTTTAAGGTTGACAAATATATCTGCGATTTTGTGAGAAAATTTTTTTCATATTTCTACTTTTACCACTAGTCAATAAAGATGGAATAAATTCATAATCATCTAATTGCAAAGTGAAAATAGAATACTCTGCATTTCTTTCAAGTAAAGCACAGAAAAAAAATTCTGTTTGCCCTACATCACTTTAATGAGAAATATCGCAAAGGATTTTTCTATAGGCCAGAGATGTAACCGACGACCGGCCGGTATAAACCGGTACGATCGAGAAAAAAGGCGTAAATTGACCAGTACTTGGCCGGCCCGATCCGGTTCAAGGTTTTTAGATCGGTTACCAGCTCGGTTGATAAAAATCTTGACCGGTTACATCTATCCTACGGGTTTCAATCAGTCTTCAAATATTTGGCGATTTTTTTGTTTACTAATTAAGTAGACATTATCAATATTGATTTTACCGGCCTGAATTCTAAACTATCCGTCTCTGTAATTCAACACTTATAACAGAATATATAATGTTGAGATGGATTCTCAAAGATTCACTGAACATTCATCGAAAATATTTTTTGACTCTTGGTTCATGGTTTTTCTACTCAAAAAGAGCTTTCCCCTACACTCTCATGCCTCTGCTATCTGCTAAATCCTATCCGTGCTTAGGCTTTGTAAGCATACCCTATAGTAAAAAAATTTTGATGAAATTCCTTTTTGATGAAATAGTTTTCGATGAAAGTTCGTAGTACCATTCTCAAAAGAAAAGAAGAATATTAGCTCCATTATATAACGCTTATTTCATTAGAAACAAAATAATAGATCATTTTACCAGTACCGAATATCATCAACTAGGCATGCACCGGTATTTATCGGTATACTTTCCTCCTTTTCTGAATCAGGTTGGCTGAAAAGTACAAACAATCAAAGTTTTTAGACGACTCATTTTTGTAGAGCAAACATCTTTCTACAAAATGATGTATGGCGCAACTCTTCATCTTTTTCCTTTCTCAATTCTCGAGAAAAACCCTAAACTGGTATTAGTTGCTATTAGTATCAGTGGTGGGACGTTTAGCAAACATTTTTTACCTTGATACTAATTGGATAAGATCGAACGTGCTGTTATATCTCACTTTGTAGAGAAATGTTTGCTTTGTAAAACCAAGCCAACATAAAAACTTTTAGAAGATCATTTTGCGGTATGAAAAATTTTTTTTATGAAAAAAACGTGAAATTGCAACGGTAAATGCCTAATCATGACTGAATTAAGTTATATGTGTTTCATCACGTACGCATTAATAAGCGTTACGTCCTCTATCGTTTCTTAGTTTGATTGTTAGTTCAAATTTTCACATGTCGTGAGAATTATAATTTGGAATTAGAGGTGTTAGCCGCGCTGCTGACAGCATCGCCGCCGATAAATTAGTCGGTTAACATCTCTATTTGGAATACGCTAGAAGTAGGCATGCAACAATTACCGTTAACTGTAAAACCATAATTGTTATAACTGTAACTGTGAAAGCTGTAACTGCTCATAATTGTAGGCAAATATGAGTTAGTTTTGTACGATCTGCATATATTTTAAGATATGCAAATCGTACAAACCTAACTCATTCTAGAATATTTGCCTACAGTTATGAGCAGTTAAAGCTTTCACAGTTACATTACAGTTATGACAGCTACAGTTATCAGTAGTTTAACAAGTACAGTTAACTAGTAAAAAACTGTAACTACTATCCGTTCCAAAATGCATGGCAGGTGGTTGCTTTTTGAGTAACTTTTGATCGAAGATAGATGGAGACCTGTGGCTTTCACTGTTCGATAGCCAAGACCTGTATGCATCTTTCCACAAGCAAAAATGATTTTTGAAAAAGATT